AAGGTATGAACATTTTGTCACCCGATTCCTTGATCTTATGTCAAGCTTTGGTTGCTGAAAATCCAGTACTAACCCTTTAAGTTACTTGAAGATGCTAGCATGATCTCTGAAGCTTCTCTTACCTATATATTGTATCATTTATGCAATAATAATCATCAGTTCTAATAAAGAACAAACGTACCTAAACATATGTTGTATTATAGTTAAACATTAATGAAGAGTTACCTACCATTCAAAATAGGTTGGATGCCCGGAAATATTTGGACAAAACCATCGTCAGTTACATCAATGTGTCTTTGGACTGCACAAAACCAGAAAGACTAGAATAATCTGATAAATAAACGCGTAGTTGCTGAGGTGAAATGATGTTATCATGTATGTCCATCACTAGAATCCAGCACCTTAAAGATACTACAATCGAGCTTAAGTAAAGAGTCAAACTTTACCGCATGTGTAAAATCTGTGACATGTGCAATATCACAGCTCATGATGCAATATCACATCCGGCGCGATAGCGGCATTTCGCCATGGCATCTGACCAAAGTCCTGGTATAGCTGCAATTGTTTTCATGGATGCCGTACACAGGGGATCAGTCTGCTGACGATCGACCAGTCTTTATCAATTGCCGATACCATGTACCTGTATCTTATTTTTAAAAACGGGTGCGAGTATTACTGCTGCCTGACGTCTCGAATTGAGAGGGAATTAACAGGGCTAGTCGGTATGGAGTCGGTACTCAAAGTGCCAGGACTGTATGCAATATGAATATGGTACATTCTTCCCGGACTGTGTCATACTCGCACTGAAGGGCACGCACACGTGCACGTGCGCACACACTCTGAATTACTTACCTATGAGAGAGTCACCACCGCTGTACGCCAAAATGGAATCCTCTGCCGAGACACAAAAGGTTTGTATGTGGAAGGCTCAACCCTCATATATCTCCTGTACTAGTAATTGAGATTTTTGCTGCCTCAACCGCCGCAAAGAGTACTTCCAGTTATTGAGGCTGAATGGTTCGTTTCCGCTGAGCAAAGTTGGATCAAAGTAATTCCAAAACTGATATGATTTGACTGATCCGTGGAGCCAGTTGGAAGAATTAAAATGCTAACACATACGCCCGTATGGAGTTTAGGTAAGAAATAGGCTCAATAATCAACAACAGCAGATGCTTGTCTTACGTTTGTAGGGTGACTTGGTGCCATCTACAATATCACAGCCGGCATGTTGAAAATCACAGTCTGCCATGTGCAATATCACCGCAGTCACCGTGTGCAATATCACAGCCACCGTAATGTGCAATACCACGGCCACCAAAATGTTCAATATATCACAGCCACCATGTGCAATATATCGCCAGCCACCATGTACAATATCACAGTCACCATGTTCCATATATATATCACAGCTACCATGTGCTGCAATATCACAGCCACCATATTTCCATATATCATAGCCGTATGCAATATCCTGCAGTCACCATGTTCCTTATATCGCAGCCACCATGTACAATATCACAGATCCACCATGTTCAATGTGTGCAGCCACCATGTGCAATATCACAGCCATATAACCACCATGTACAATATCTGGCCACCATGTGCAATATCACTGAAGATTGCGTGCTCAAAGGGGCTGAAGTAGTTTCAACCCTAGCACATCTTATTATCAATCTAAACTCCTAGGGGACCATACAACCCTTGCTGCCACAAGTCGCACCGAGTTATTGCGGCTTTCCCTTTCTTACAAGATTACCCATTCACAGCTGGGTGGACTGGGACACATAGTCACAATACTTTGTCCAAGTTTACTGCACGTTGTATTGCCCGCAACTAGGTGCTTTGCTCGTATTCATGTAGGCCACCATCTGGTCATGTACCAACAGCAGCAGTTCGTGGGTTCTTTTAAGTGCACAGGGTTGTGTACGCGTACTCTGAGAGAGTTTAGTGACAACACTGGCTTCTGCATTGACTCCAATGTTTTTACTCCCGGTCACGAAGGTGGGCTCGATCCCGTCACCTCATGCCCGCTGGATCAGCCAGCGCGCCCACCACACCACCAGCTCGACCACCGCGCTACCGCACTCAGTCAGTCCGTTCCATCAAAAGCGCAATCATTTGTTTTATACGAACAATCACTAAAACTACTCCGACTAACATTGTTCTGCGTTAACAATCTGATCACAAATTATTGACTATCATGCTTTTCAAGGTCGTTATATCCAAATGTTGTTGCCATGCTACACATCCAAATACACGTTGTACATCGAGTATTGTTGACCTACTTAAATACTTCAATTTATATAGAGTCAACATACCCTCATCATGTGAGTGATCTTGGGTTCGTATCCCAGATTTGTCAGCAGCGAAGACCTGCATCTTTTCAACATCCGACAAAGCGTGATGTACTGTAATATTTCATACACTATACGAACTGCGGTGTATATAAACATATTGTTAACATACCGTCAAAAGATCTTCACGGTATCATCGATGGCTGGTTGGACAGATTTAAAATGTTGACATCAAGAACGACAACTCAGAACTTCCTCTCCTCATTTTGGCGCTTTTGATGTCCATTTTGCATCTGGGGTTTCTGTCATGAAAAATGAACATGAGCGATGAAACATTAATAAACTCCATTATTACCCCGGATAACCCAACCTGCCAAGTGAGGCGCTAGATTTATTAAGTCATATGATAACAGCACCGAGAACCCATTTTTCTGCTGCTGAACAGGCACCCAATGTTGAGGGGTTCTTGTGAAGTATATACAGAAGCTGGTATTGTTAGAGTATGCAGACAAAATATTATGGATGTCACTTTCTTTCTTGTGAGGCAATGTCGAACGCATATGTGGCAGACTCAATATATATATATGTACATAGTTTTAATTAAAGTTTGGAAGAATATATTAAGTATTAAGGTAGATGGCATTGTTTCCATTTAATTACTTATTCTAACATCTGTAAGAATATGGGGTATGTTTTATATGGTAGAATGATGAAATCTTAGTTATGTTTTATACTTCATTTTATTCTCATGCCATAGCTCTGCATAGTAAGCCTAGTAACTCTCAGTCTAACCTCCACTAATTGTCACACTGCATGCTTACAACACTCCTTGCCCCAGCTCTCGGTCAGTTCTATTGTTTCACTGATAGGCCAAGCTGGCCATAGCTTAAACTACAATGTAAAGATTTTAAACTCACATGTTGTCCTGTACTTCGTAAGGAAGGTTACCTTTACAACCAGGGGATATTTATAAGGATTTTAGGTAGGTTCATATTGTATAAAATGTTGTATATATATATATATGGATGGTTTCTTGTTTACTACAATAAGAAATATAATTTATTGTGTAAGTCAGACTTGGTTTACTTGAAATATAATATATCTTATAAATGTGTATAGTTGAAAATGAACTATCAGATCACTGTGTTATTGTGAGTATGTATTGAACACAATTCTAAACATATCAACTAAATATATGGCAACGTTTAGGTAATGACTAGTCAGTATGAATGCATGCCTGTTTGTTTGGTATGTGTGAAAGATAAACACATACATATATATAAATATTATATATGATTCCATGTTTCATTAGTGTGGCGAATACAATTGTATCTTATTTTATATCATATCACTTGTATATATATATATTGTTTTCTTCATACATATTTATTTGTTATGCAGATCTGTGTTCATTCCGGAGAATATCCTCCTTAACAGCTTGGGTACAACCAACCTGGTATGTAACACCTAACCAGAAAAAAACCCTATATGTATACCAGAAGTGTATTTACTATTAGAATTTCCTAAAGGTACCTACAGTATGTCTGTATGATCATTGTATATTTGTAAAACTATTAATACTATGTAACATTATAACTTGTGACATAGTTCAGATGTATTCAACTAGGTGTATTTAATAGGCTTAACGACTGATCCACCATGTACATATTTTATGTGATTCCATTTAACATAGTTCCTTATGTTCTTTCAGGCTTTTTAACACGATCTTCCAGAATAAATGTATCGGCCTCACAACCCACAGCCGTTTGTATTCTTTTGCATGGATTCAAACAAGGCGCTGTTTTATAGTTCTTATATTCATGTGATGACATGAGAACTGTTTACAGACATTATCAAGACTCCTGCTTTTTTGCCTCGAGTGGATTTCCGATGCGACGACACTGGCCGTCTTCAATCCTTCCACGCGTGATGTCATTTTGATTATCATTTCTCTGCATGTGTTGTGTGATGATAAGTTATGACGTAGCGAGCGCGGTTCCAGCAGGAGCGCTCCGAATTAATGCTTAGTTTGCATCAGTTGTTTAGTTAATTAGTCAGTTAGTTAGCCGAGTTAATCAGTTAGTTAGTTAGTTTTACTATCATGCTTATTTCCCTTAGTGTCTTTAATAACATATTGCGTCGCTGGGCAAGTGCAATAATAATCTTGAATGCGACCTTAACCTTAACCCTCTAAACAGACAATTACTCTTTAACTTTAGGAACATATTATATAGTTGTTCATATTATTTGCATACCAGCCACAGAGTGTTATATATATATATATGGGTATATGTATTGTTTATTGCATGCATGAATGTGAGTGTGAAGGCTATGCTAAAAGCTAGTTTGACTTTATCGCTTAGATTAGATATTTAATCCATCATGATATCGCCCTAACTAAATAAACTGTTAGGTAGTCTGTGCTTTAGATTACGCATGTGGTTCATTTTACCTATTCTTGTCAGTTGGTAGCAAAGCTGGTTGAGGTAATAGTTTTCAGATATACTTGTGTTGTAGGTTCTGCGTTCAGTGTTGTTTCTCAGATTGTTGGTGCTACTATCTCCATTGGTTGAGAGAATTGGTACATTTCCCTGTTTTCGCCATACACCATGTAGATCCCAATTGCGCGCGTGTGTACATGCAACCTGCACTGCAACAATTTGCACGACTAACTTGCTTCTCGGTAATCATTAGAAATACCTCCGGTATTATACCCTATTTTTGAGTTAGCATTATTTCAAGATTAGTCCATATCTACAGGTATTTGTCTTAGGTACATTTGTGGTTAGAATATGTGTACATACTGTAGCAATTACACAGATTTCCTTTGCCAGCCACAAACTACTGCTGGTTTACGGTAAGTTGCCAACTATCATGACTTCCTTAAGTTGATGGATTCAGCCATCATTTTTCTCACCATTAGCTTTCGTGTACGCACATCATTGGATTGTGCGCAGAGTGTTTTCTAGTATATCCAGCAACGCACTGATATATAGTGTAGTATACTAGTTACAGTGTAACATCCATAGACGGTGGCACCCATCTCGTACACTCGTACTTCATATCCTTCGTTAACACGCATATTGATTCTGTATCATTATTTCCTGCGCTACATTTCCGCCATACCTAGTAGATTTCCTGGTAAGGGAATTTCACTTCCCCACTTCGAGAGGTCAATAACTCATTCTGAATAATGGCAACACAGAGATAATGTCAAAGGAGGAGGTAGATCAGCCTGGTCTCTTCTTTGCGGAAAAGTTAGGTTTACGTCACAAAGCTGAAACTCCAGAAGACTTACTACAATGGATCACTGAGATTTGCCGAAGCATAGTCTAAACCAGAGGAACCAGCAATACAACATCCATCCTCTACCTGCTGTACAGTTACTTTAGCTAAGTCCCCACAACTACTTCTCAGCAGGTGACGGAAGGGAGATGCAGACTTTGATCAGTGGATGCATGAGTACACATGTATGTGTAACTATATGGTGGACATTGTTTTTGGAACGATCAGACGTTCCCTTGGCGGCAGCTACCAGGGGATTTATGCGTCGACAAGGATACTTTCCACTAGATGCCCTCGTCAGCCATCGATAGTGTGTTGGAAATATACGGCAAGAACATAACATCATGGCGCAGTTCTGCCACTTGGCCAAACAAGGAGACAGCAGAAAACTGTGGCCAGGTGGTCCTGTCGCCTAGAGGATATTAATAGCCAAGGAATTAATCCTGGGCAAAGGTCAACGCTAACTGGCGACACAGAAGAATTCTCCGGAAGGACACCCTTTAGTTTGGTCTTCGAGCTGATGACCTGAAAGAGATCTTTCCGGCCATGAAACTGAGGACCGGGATGTTATCATATAGGCAGTTCCTCAAATACCTCCGTCAAGTTGAAGATGATCTGCTGAAAGGAAATCAATTTCCAAGAGGCGTATCGACCAATAAGGCGACCGTCAGCACAGATAACCCTGAACTCAAAGAAATAAAGGGTCTATTAAGGTCCATGTCTTACCCAGAAATACGCTTAACCCTCAGGCACAAAGTGGACCAAGACCCGACAGGCAGAGGATACAATCAAAGTCCGGATCAGTCTTGTTCGGGGTCAGGACAAAGGTCAGCATATGGCAGATGCCCTATGGCAATGGACACGACCTCCAAGGACCAGTGCAAGTCAATCTTTTGGACGACCTCCAACTGGCCGAGGACCCCAGTCTCTCATGCCATGGACCCCAGCCCTTTAAAGACATCCCCAAGATGCCATAGATGTGGACAGCCTGGACATATTCAGGGGGATGCAGAGCAGTCATGGATGGAGACTCTTTAAACTTCCCCAGGCCTATGGGAGGGGCGGACCATGGAGCCCTAAGAAGTGTCAGCAATCAGCAGATAACAGTCGAGATGGTAGGAGATCAACTGAGAGCACTGTAACCATTAATGCGGAGTCAAGTGCAAGGCTTTACTGGATGCAGGGGCAACCATCTCATCTATATCGAAGAGACATTCTACAGGCAGAACTTCCCTGATGTTCCTCTTGAACCCTACAACAACTTCTACATGTAGAATATTGCCGATGGAGAACTCCTGCAATACATGGGACTAATTGTGGAGGGTGGACCTAGAAAAGAACTGGAAGCGCATCTACCAACATAAACTCAATGTTACTTGTCGTTCCTGATGGTTCGTGCAATAAAGAATACCAGTTACCCTAGGCACTAACATTTCTTTCTATCTACCTGAACCAATGCAAGGACCAGTATGGATCACGATTTCTGCAACATGCAGACCTGCACACAACGGTATCTACAATTCCGCGGCATATTGATCAAGGAGAGAGAACTTGCAAAGGAACAATTACTCTGTTGGGAAAGTTAGTGGTGCTGAACCAGGTGCTTAAGATTATCAGCCAATGGTGAGATCCCACATTGCCGGCTATGTTGATAGACCCCTACCTATAAACTTACTCATGCTGTTGTCCAGCCTACCAGAGGATCATATATTCCTGACGACCTTGACATTGTACCCACCTTAGTATCATATGATGGAAGTGGACAGAAGATGCTTCGTTGATGTACATATAATCAACCTTACCACTCGCTCTGTGTCAATTCAAGTCGTGCCCTTCTATGTATGAGCTACAAGTTGTGTGATACAATTTTACACCAAAGACCTCTTCATCACTGAACTCGCCTACGGAAGATACATCTGTCTTGGACCTCATGGACTTCAACGAAACAGCCGTTTCAGAGGAAGAACTCGCGCGGGAAAACAAGTCATCAAAGGATTGCTTGGATGTGATATACTCAGGAGATACTGACTTGGGACACACAGACGGGGTCCGACATCGGATTGAACTTGCAGATGACAATCCATTTAAATAGCGTTATCGAAGAATACCACCAGCTATGTACGAGGAAGTTAAAGATCATCTCAGTCAACTGCTTCTGTGGTGTCAAATTAGACATTCTCATTCTCCATGGTCTTCCAATGTGGTACTGGTACGTAGAAGTCAGGAAAACTTGGAGACTATGTGTGGATTTTCGCCAGCTGAACCAACGGACCATTAAGGACAGCTATGCTATCCCCAGGATTGAAGAAATGTTTGAAGCACCTTTCAGGTTCGAAGTTTTACAGTACCCTGGATGAAAAGCGGCTACCACCAGAAGTAGAAATAGAGGAGAAACACAAGGGCGAACTGCAGCCTTTACTGTTGGACCAATGGGATTTTTATGAGTACAATCGTATGCCCTTTGGATTGCATGCAACAGTCCAGCGACTTACCAGCGACTCATGAACGAGTGTTTTGAAGGCCTGCATCTAAAGATATGTCTCATATGCTTGGATGACATCATCATATTCTCATCAACGATTGACGAACATCTAGACCGATTGAGCCAAATACTTCAGCGGAGTCAGAGAAACAGGACTGAAACTTTCACCAGAAATGTTCATTCTTCAAAAAAGAAAATCAATTCCTTGGCCATGTTGTCTCTGAAAGGGAATATCAGCTGATCCTGAGAAGGTAGAGAGAAAGGTTCTAAATTGGCCAGAGACCTACCAATGGTTCAAAGGGAGGTTCGTCAATTTCTTGGATTTGCAGGATATTATCGGAAATTTGTGAAGGATTTTGCCAAGATTGCCAAGCCATTATCCTCATTTGATGCCACATAGGAAATCCAAAGAAATCCAAGAAATCCTTGACCAACCATGGAAATGGGAACAAGAACAAGAACAGGCGTTTGTACACCTCAAGACATTGTTGGCTTCACCACCTGTCCTTGCATACCCAGACTCACAGCAAACCATTCGAGATACATACAGATGCCAGTGGACGTGGGCTTGGAGCAGTGTTGTACCAGGAACAAGATGGAGCCAAAGAGGGTTATCAGCTATGCGAGCAGGAGTTAACCAAAGTCGAAGGAAACTTCTTCAGCTCATAGACTGGAGTTTCGCATTTGAGAGTGGGCAGTCAGTGAGAAGTTTCACGACTATCTCTTTGGAGCAAGGTTTACAGTACTGACTGATAACAACCCCCTCACCTACGTCCTCACCAGTGCCAAGTTGGATGCTACTGAGGCCACCGATGGCTTGCAACTCTCTCTGCTTATGATTTTGACATCCACTATAGACCTGGAATGAAAAACTCAGGCATGAATGCCTTGTCAAGACTGCCAGACCTGGAACTACCCGAAGACATCTCCATGGATTCTGTAAAGGCCATCTGTGGTGTTGTTCACGCCCAACCATTTATTGAATCACTATACCATGTCACAGCAAGTTTACTGGACGAGGACCTTCACCGACAGAACATGATCTACATGGGATGACAGACGAGGAGGATTGGCGTATGGCACAAGCTACAGATGCGACTTTATCTTCTTGGATACAGGCAGTGCATTAACAACAAGAAAGCCAAGGAGACAAGATTTTCCTCATACCCTAGCAAATACATGTTTATATCGGAGCTTCCATTTCTCTTGTTCTTCAACGTGGGATATTGTATCGCCAAATCAAGGTAGATGGAGTTGCAAAGATCAACTAGTGTTACCATCTAACTTCATCAATGATGCATTACAAGGCCTCCACAATGATATTGGTCACCCTGGACGTGACAGAACCCTTTCCTTAATTCGTGACGGATTTTACTGGCCAGGCATGCAAGCAGATACTGTTGATTGGATCAAGAACTGTAACGGAGTGTCTCAGGAGGAAAACGCCTACTAATGTCGCGCACCACTTGTTTCCATCACCACATCACAACCGTTGGAGTTAGTCTGTATGGATTTTCTGACCCTAGAGACTTCAAAGGGAGGATTCCAACACATGCTCGTGATCACCCGATCATTTCACGAGATATGCTTTAGCAGTGCCAACGAAGAACACTACAGCCAGGACCACTGCAGAAGCATTCTACAAGAACTTTGTCCTTCACTATGGAATGCCCATGCGAATTCACAGTGACCAAGGAGCTAGCTTCATGAGGTCGAATGATGAAAGAACTCTGTAACATCCTAGGCATAGCCCAGTCAGAGAACTACACCATATCATCCAATGTGTAACGGAATGACAGAGCAGCTTTAACAGGACTCTACTCAATATGCTTAGTACTCTGAAGCCAAACCAGAAGCAAGACTGGAAGGGGTTTGTAGGTCCACTTGTTCATGCCCACAATGCAACCAGACACGAATCAGCAGGCTATTCCCCATTCTATTTGATGTTTGGTAGAGGCAGCGAGACTACCCATCGACCTTGCTTTTGGAATTGAAGTAAACAAGGACAAGCAGACTCTGACCTCCTCTATGTGGCAGCCCTGAAGACAAGGCTGGAGCAAAGCTACAACATTGCTATATCTGCATCAAGGGAAGCCCAGAAGAGACAGAAGCGTATGATATCAAAGCCAGAGGTGCGCAATCCAGTCTGGAGACCGTGTGCTAGTGAAGATTCTTGCTTTTTGAGAGGGAAAGCACAAGCTATCTGACAAGAGTGGGAAGAGAGGATCGTATGTAGTTTTTCTCAGCCTAACCTGGGCATACCAGTGTTTGTAGTGAAGAAGAAGGAAAACGGAGAAGGAAGGACTAGGACCTGCGTCATCGTAACCTCCTCTTACCCATTAGGATCTTTATCAGCTGAGGACGACGGAGAACCTATAAGATCAGTTTCAACTCCAGGACCGGACACCTCATTAGAACCAGAACTAGAGACAGAACCATTGGCGTCGGGGATCAAGATGAGTGTGAGTCCATCTCAAAGCCTGCTTATTGGACTTCCAATGGAGCCTGGTGATACGACTGTCATCAGCGCAGGATCTTTGGAAGGTGACTCTATCTCACAGCCTGAGGGGTGACGATCTGAGGACTGTAAGAGGTAGCTAGCCATGCTTCTGGTGGTGGCGACCACTGCGCGCCCGTGCGGGAACCAGATAACCCGGTACAATAGAAGCCGGGCTAGAAGAAGAAGAAGCAGCAGATGTTAGTGTCAGTGAAGGACAGGACACAGACTCAACCGAAGGAGTCACTGCTCCTGTGTACTTGACCGACCAAAGGCCAAGCCAAGGCCAAGACTAAGGCCAAGTCAAAGCCCAAGACCAAGACCTAAACCACCACCAAGGACATCACTCCGGCAGAGACGGCCACCGGAGTGGCAACGCTCAGGAGACTACGTGATGAGTCAGACCATAGCAGATGATTTGGGGGACAGGGCTCGACTCATTGAACAGCTCGCATCAGCTGGTATCTTTGAGCGGATTGGTGGTGCAATGTCCCAGCTAATAGTCACATTACTCAACAACGCCAATAAATGACAGGGACGTCATTTAGATGAAGAGGGGAAGTATGTGGCAGACTCAATATATATATATGTACATAGTTTTAATTAAAGTTTGGAAGAATATATTAAGTATTAAGGTAGATGGCATTGTTTCCATTTAATTACTTATTCTAACATCTGTAAGAATATTAGGTATGTTTTATATGGTAGAATGATGAAATCTTAGTTATGTTTTATACTTCATTTTATTCTCATGCCATAGCTCTGCATAGTAAGCCTAGTAACTCTCAGTCTAACCTCCACTAATTGTCACACTGCATGCTTACAACACTCCTTGCCCCAGCTCTCGGTCAGTTCTATTGTTTCACTGATAGGCCAAGCTGGCCATAGCTTAAACTACAATGTAAAGATTTTAAAGCTCACATGTTGTCCTGTACTTCATGGGAAGGTTACCTTTACAACCAGGGGATATTTATAAGGATTTTAGGTAGGTTCATATTGTATAAAATGTTGTATATATATATATATGGATGGTTTCTTGTTTTACTACAATAAGAAATATAATTTATTATGTAATAAGTCAGACTTGGTTTAACTTGGAAATATAATATATCTTATAAATGTGTATAGTTGAAAATGAACTATCAGATCACTGTGTTATTGTGAGTATGTATTGAACACAATTCTAAACATATCAACTAAATATATGGCAACGTTTGGTAATGACTAGTCAGTATGAATGCGTGCCTGTTTGTTTTGGTATGTGTGAAAGATAAACACATACATATATATAAATATTATATATGATTCCATGTTTCATTAGTGTGGCGAATACAATTGTATCTTATTTTATATCATATCACTTGTATATATATATATTGTTTTCTTCATACATATTTATTTGTTATGCAGATCTGTGTTCATTCCGGAGAATATCCTCCTTAACAGCTTGGGTACAACCAACCTGGTATGTAACACCTAACCAGAAAAAAACCCTATATGTATACCAGAAGTGTATTTACTATTAGAATTTCCTAAAGGTACCTACAGTATGTCTGTATGATCATTGTATATTTGTATTAATACTATGTAACATTATAACTTGTGACATAGTTCAGATGTATTCAACTAGGTGTATTTAATAGGCTTAACGACTGATCCACCATGTACATATTTTATGTGATTCCATTTAACATAGTTCCTTATGTTCTTTCAGGCTTTTTTTAACACGATCTTCCAGAATAAATGTATCGGCCTCACAACCCACAGCCGTTTGTATTCTTTTGCATGGATTCAAACAAGGCGCTGTTATACATAGACATGTGTGTATCACGTGTGCTTCGTTGTGGGGCATCACTGAAGTCCTGGAGACTCTCAGGCGTCAATATACCTATACCAAACACGGTCACCTATCAAAGGGCTCTCCTGGGCCACCGTTGCTTAACTTCACCTGATTTGTGACCTGAGCTCTATGCACATGGCCACACATCACCACTAGTGCCTGAATTGGTCCCTGAACCGTACATGTCATATACTGTTGGTTCGTTTGTTGTTTGATGCCGCACTCAAAAATATTCCAGTTATATGGTGGCGATCTGTAAATACTCGAGTATGGAACAGACAGTCCAGTGATCAACAGCATGAGCATCGATCTACGCAATTGAGACGCGATGCCATGTGTCAACCAAGTCAACAAGCCTGGCCACCAGATTCTGTTGGTCGCGTCATACGACTAGCTTCGATTACTGCAGGCTAATGTGCGTGTGTGTCATCTACCGGCTGAGCATGATTCGATATAAACGATCGAGTTTGTTTTTGTTATCAACGCACAATGCCATTATTTTTGTTGGTCGTTTAACGCTGCACTCATCACTACCCCAGCTCTATGACAACGGTCCGGCAAGTAATCGGGTTTCCATCAGACAAGCCAGTCCATCTGCCCACTGGTATAGACCAGTTAGGTATTCAATGGCGGCAGTGGATTGCTGGCTTGTTGACAAAAAGGTTAGACTGGCAAACATATACATACTTCTCTATAGAGACGGGGTAGCCAGGTGATGTTAGGTATCTAGGTTGTGATCCAGCCGTTAACTGCAGGGGGCCGCAAACATCAGGACTTGTTGTTGTTGTTTCTGAGTGAACTTTGTCAAAGAAAGAAAGTGATTTTATAAATATTATTATATATCTGTTTTGTTATTGTTATTTAAAGCCGAACTCAGCAGGTTTCCATCTATATGACGGCGATCTGTAGGTTATCGAGTCAATTATAGAGGAATTAGTGAGTGAATCTAGTTTTACGCCGCTTTTAGCAATATTCCAGCAATACCACAGCAGGGGACACCAGAAATGGGCTTCACACATTGTACCCATGAGGGGAATTGAACCCGGGTCTTCGCCGTGACGAGGCAACGTTTTAACCACTAGGCTACCCCACCGCCTCTCGTAGAGATCAACATCATGAACGCGACCTTACTCATTTGGGTGCAGTGCTGTCGACATACTTCTCGCGGTTACATAAAACATGTGACGTACACTCAGCTTACCAGTGGTTGAACACAATAAAACCCCATGAAGAACCAGATATAATCCATGTCGCCATGTTGCTTCCATGATAGTAGAATGTCAGTGACGACGGTTGAGGGGACGGTATAATACTCTTCACTCTCCAACAGGTAAGCGCTGCCTGGCGTCCTTGTACGCGAAGCCTAACGGTACAGTCAACACGTATCTCTCAAGACTGTCCTGTTGAATACAGGCACACATAAAGTGGCGAAATATACAGCGAGTCTTTTTTTAGAACAAGTAAACATCAGGGTGGGTATCGTATTGTAACGCGGAGAAATTCAGTCACGCTGAACATACTCCGAGCAACAATATAATAGCTTGACCTACATACCTGACGTTGCGTTGCGTTGTAACTATATGTAAGGTTGACCTGTGTAGAAGCGTTGTAAGTGTGCCTGGTTAAAGGAGTGAAATCTCATCGCCACCCGATCGCCTGGGTCGTCAGCTGGTTACATGTACATTGCTTACTGCCCTATATCCGTGAATACCTTGCCTGAATCATAGAGGTTAGGTTATAAAGCTGAACCTCTCTCTTCACAGTAATCGGGTAAATGGCTCACTACTGAAGTGCTATTGATCGTTATTGTATTCGTACCTTACCCCTGCACAAAATGTATGGCTTTATTAATTGATTAACACTTATACATCAACTGACCAGTCACCTCCCACTGTCACAATCATCAGACATCGCAAGGCTTTCTTCAACATTGTTAAACAGGTATGGTCAAAGGGGGGACAACTCTTGAATTTTGACACTCGTGAAGCGATTTCGAAGCCATTCTATTGTTTGGTAGCTCAAGGTTTGACGTCACGTTCAAGCTGATCTTTTTGATAGTAACGTCCGTGTACGTGAGTGTGTGCTGGTGTTCTTTCGGATTGAGGGGCGGTGGGGTAGCCTAGTGGTTAAAGCGTTGGCTCGTCACGCCGAAGACCCGGGTTCGAATCCCCACATGGGTACAATGTGTGAAGCCCATTTATGGTGTCCCCCGCCGTGATGTTTCTTGAATATTGCTAAAAGCGGCGTAAAACCAAACTCAGTCAGTCTGTCTTTCGGATTTAAACCAGTTGTGTAGTGTTTGTCCATTTTTGGATGTCGAGCAGCAGAATAACAGGGGCAGAAAACTTAATTGTAAGTTTCATTACGGAGCAATGTCCCAGACCCTTGGCACTTTGGTTAAACCCAGGAATAAGACATGTTGTCTGACATACCCGAGAACAAGTCCATTAGAACTATTTCACAACGAGATCGTGGCCAGGGGCGTAGCTACCGTTTTAAAAAAAGACCGGGCTTACACATGATTTTGAAAATGAAAGTTTGGCAAGCCCTCAATACTATCTAAATATGAAGCATTGCATGGCGAGGACGTGAATGTTTAGTAATTGTGCACTTATACTGAGAATGAGTGTATACTGTCTCAATATAAAGGTTTCCAGCCCATCGGGCTTTCACGAAAAAAATGGTTTGCTACGCGCCTGGTGGCATCCGTTTTCTAGCTTCATCTCTCTCGATCGGGAAATACAACATTCTAACAGTGGCTACTGAAGAAAGATGATCTTATGGCCTTCACGTTTATGTCAAGATTGTACGTTTAATTCACATGTACCCGGAAATCACCCGTTTTCCATTTTCGGTCATGGAATGCTTCATTTTTGAAGCACAAGAGAAAAACAACAAAGAAAGATGTGTCTCTTTATCCAGAAATCTTTAAGTACTTCATTTGTGACATTTGTTGTTTGGCAGTCGGTACCTGCTACTGTGATTCCCATGTCCCACAAGACTTGAATTTCATTTCGACGTGAAGTAATAACACGTTTTTCTTACCTCTGTTTTCCCTGTGGAAAAGTAGGCCCTGATGTGATAAGAATTAATGATCTTACCCTTGTACACTCATACAAAACAGGTCAACTTTTAATTACTTTATTTTTCTATTTATTGTTTTTGCCCGCCCGCTCTCATGCTTGGGGTGAGAACTAAACACAGAGATGGTCTTATACCCGTGAAGATCCGGGTTAGAATTCGTCATTAGTGTCCCATGCTTGTCGTAAGAGGCGACAAACGGGATCAGGTGGTCAGGCTCGCTGGTCACATGGTTGACACATGTCGTCGTATCCCATTAGCGTAGATCGATGCTCATAATGTTTATCACCTGATTGTCTGATCCAAACTCGATTATTTACAGATCGCCAGCTTATGGCTGGAATATTGCTGAGTGCCGCGTTAAACAACAAACAAACGAAACAGCTGGTTTCTCGAATGTGGCTTGTGAGTTGAGCGATTCTTCACGACTCTTTGAATTACATATCAAGTGTGAATCATATAAGGCGTGTTAGGTTATTGCATAATGAAAGCCTGAAGTGAGGCAGCTCTATCGCTCACTTTCGTGAACCTGATATTCGTGCACATGATCACATGTTAATGTCATCTCTTATGTGACTACTGCCCCTTGGACCATCCGTGTCCCCTGAATAAGAAAGTACCACAGGCCCTCGTGTCTTTGCGAAGATTAGAGATTTTATAAAATATGTACAAAAATTTGAGATGACCCCCGACTCGAAATGCTTCACAGTATAATATCATGATGTATTGTACAGTAAAGCATTTCGAGTCGGTGGTCATCTCAAAAACAATATTTTTTAAATCATTAATCCTCGCAAACACACGAGGGCCTATGGAAAGTACATGCATTTCATGTATATGTGTATGCAGTTGTATTTTACGGTATTGGACATATGGGTAAAAGAAAGGGGAAAATTAATACTTTGAGCTGCAATAATTTATTGAACGCCTGATAAATTACATTTCTACATGTATCCTAACTTAAATTAGACGCTATCTCCGCTTCATGTTAATGATGCAATCTTCGTATGTGATTCAAAATGAGTTCTAAATTCCGTGCACAATGTACTGCTGGCATACGATTCAGTTTCATGATCGCAAATTAAAAAAAATGTGTGGGTATGATATACTCTAACAATTCAAAATACTCTAGATGTGTGAAAATCAGAATTCAATCGCACTCATAATTCAAGTTTTTATTTCAATGCTAATAGCGTTCAACTTAGATCTCCGAAACCCCCTTGCTGTATCGGACTTGGTTATCGTAGGTCACCGATTTGTTATCCTTGGATAAACCAGGGTCAAGTACCTGATAGAGCGACGTGTACAGATCAGGTTGGAACTGTGGGTTTTTATCGGTGTTAGGCGTTTCATACACGTTGCCATGGGCAGCAACTGTTTCCTTGCCACTCTCTAGTGACTTGACTTCTTCGTAAGCACCATTGGAGAATGCTGCTGGCGTCACCATAGATACAGAACTACCCGCTTCACTCTGATTAATGATGTCTTGGTTCTGGTAAGATGACATGTCCTTTCTGCGATACATTCTCCACGTAATTAGAGCACCCACTACGGCTAAAATTAACAACACAACGCCAAACACCGACCCAACAACGACACCGGCTTGGCTGGAACTGGATGCTGTCTGTGGAGCTGAAACAAAAGATACCACAAAAACTGAAAAACACATGGAATGAATATTAAGAAATATATTCCTGTATATCCTGTGAAAAAATAGTGTTTGAATTATTAAGTCCTGACTAATACCTATTCATACAGTAACCTTTGCCAGGTATATTATTGATTGTTAATAGTTTGCAAGGCCATTGCAAATTGACATTTTTTCCCAACAATTCTAGATATGCAGCCTAGTTAATATGTACATGCAAAAAATACGCTTTTTGTTAATTTTCTCATTTTCAAAAGAAAATAATCTTAAGCTTAGTGATGAAGGCATCCCATAAAAATAGTTACATGCGTGAGTATTGTTGTTACTAAGCACATATTTCACACTGACCTCGGAACACATTTGAACGTTTTCAGTTACAGTTTTACTATTTTTTTCTGCTGGACATACCAACTGCAGGAGCGGCATCTGATTCGGTCATCCTATATTGTACTGTCCAGGGCAGCGAGGTGTATCTTCGTCCATCAACGTACACCAGGAACATATCCTGACCTGTGCTGACCAGTGTCTGGTTGGACTGACCACACCACTTGCCCAGAAACGGAGAGTAGCAGGATGGACCTATATAAATAACATCATCCACAGTCATCGGAATGCACTTTCAGACACACACGTAAGTCCTAGTGTCAGGAGTATGATATCAACCGGACGAGGTTCGTCCCAGTAATAAATGTTAGGGCAGCGACGTTCCTACGTTTGTGAGTGTTTGTTTGTTTATTTGTTTTTAACGCCGCACTCCAGTCATCCAGCTGTATGACTGTAAGTATTCGAGTCTGGGCAGGACAATCCAGTGACTGGCATTATGAGTATATATCTTCGTGATTGTTATAGGATTACTTCGAACAAGTCAGTGAGTCTGACCATCCGATTCCCTTAGTCGCCTTTTTCGACAGTTCTAACCCTCATGGTGTCCTACGTTTGCGCTGAAGTCTTGAAAATATACCAACCCTAACCAGTTGAAGATTCGTATGTTTCAATTTACATGAACATTACAAAGATAAAATGAACAATCTTCTCGGAATACATGATTGAATTATTCACGTGCCAGTTAATCTGTTCTGCCTTCTAGCGCATCGGTTGTTTTGTTTTTGGTTACCTGCGAATTTAATTATTTGAGAATATGAAGAAAATTGTATTTTTGGAACATGCTGGTCAGTCAGCGTATTGTTCGAATGAAGTAACTGTTACAACTCACAACAATATAAATAACGGCCAATTAAGCTAAACAACTGCAGGGTGAAACAATATCACTGGGGTAACGATATAATGACTTCCCCTTTGTCCGAGTCCTGTGGCAATATGGTCCATACATGTTGTTGAAAATTCAGAGTCTGAGGATGGTTAAACTGTTATACGACATAAATATAATGTTTCCAGTATAAAGCACTAATTATGTACTGTTTATGCAAACATAATGTCAAATTTCATGTTCGATTTTCTTAGCGGTCGTTTCGACAAAATACAACCAAAATTATTCTCCTTGTTTATAACAAGACGCCCTTCACAACCCTTCACTGCACGTATCAGATAACGGTACTTTTAATAATAGAAATGCCTGAGAGTCAGGTCGTTTCGTACCATCAAATACTTCAGGTACCTGTCATGAAGCGCACTTTATAGCTGCTTTGAACTTCCGATGGGAAATTAATTTTCAGTTCGAATTCTGTCGTCGGGTCGACTGGTAATTCAGCCTCGCTCGAAATCCACTATTCGTTCTGAAATTAATCAAACTCAGCATATATCGTATGGTAAACTAAAGACATCCCGGTTCCCAAATGAACTTTCAAGCCTTGGGAGCAAGAGTTTTATATCTGCCAAGACGGAATGAAGTACGTTCATTCTGTTACCTTAATAAATTAACCGGTGGTCAGACTTGGTTGATGTCATCGCACCACTATTATTATTGCATCGTATTTAATGTTGTAGATACTGCCGTGTTGGGCGCTCGAGCATTTACGTCGCCATAATAAGACGGGGCTGAGCACAACAGTGTATAACCAAACAAGAACAACAATGATAGGCTCAGTATGATGGTTTTATAGGTTTCAAATTTTCTCTGTACACTGACCGTGTAAGGTGTTATTGTGTTAGGAAATATCCAAATGGAATGTGAGAACCTTGCCTTGCAATTGTAGTCCAGGAGAAGTAATTGGTCTCAGCTGGGCGTAATAGTTCGTACGTTCCACCAGCACAGAGCCAAACTCGGGTGTGGTTGTCATGAAGCGAAGGAATCATAACAGATTTGATGACACACACCATGTGCTACACCTGTCGCATTTCACATGAAACAAATTATCATAACGATGAAGTTGTTGTATCGTGATACTATGTCTGTCTTGATGCTATTGAAGAACTGTTAAGAGGTATGTAATAGGTACCTCCCAAAAGTTATAAAACTTATACGTGTGTTATAACAGATGTAATACAAGAGTTTGTCTTAGAAGCCTAGTAATCACCTGCTCCGTGGACTTTGTGTGGCCCTGTACTGGATTGGTTTCTGTTGGTCTCTGGTCCAGTAATGTCTGGTTGTCACTGGTCGGTGTAACAGCCATGGGTTCAGGTAGTCAATGACCACTGTTTTTCTTATTGAAGTCATGGTCGGCCTATCACATAGGGTGTGGTAGTTGCTTAACGTTGCTCGTTCCTCTGCCATAGGTGGTTCCAGAAACTTCTTTGAGGTCAGTAATGTCTGGTTGTGACTGGTCAGTTAATAACAGCCATATGGGTTCCGGGTCGTCAATGTCCACTGTTTTCTTGAGTCGTCCATGGTCGGCTTATTTACCTTCAGTGTTAGGAGTTGTCCAAATCTGCGTGTGAAAAGCTATGATTGAAAGTATATTCCTGCATTATTGTAGGAACTATAACCATTTACATGAGTTAACATTCAAGGTTTTAAACCTAGTTAGAACTTTCATATGCAAAGGCCGGCTACAATGATAGAATATTATTGCTTTTTCATCTACCTAGGCTGTGATATTAAAAGGTAGAAATGCAACACCAAGAAATTGGAGACCACAAACACAACATTGTTCCTTGCAAGATGCGGCCTATGGCATCCGTCTCTATCAGTGATAGATGAGAAGCTGCGTGTAGAGGATATCGTTAAGTAAGAGATTCCATCGAAACTGCAAAATTGATACCAGAACTTCATTTTCTCTGTATGCAGATGGACTGTGATCAGCGGTGTTTCAATAACCAAAGATGCTAACCCCGTTTTTGGATCAGGTATCCTCTTGTAGACGAGTGAAAGCATGGCCACCAACAAGGCTGGACATTTTTGAAACGGATGCTCATTCTGGAGTTGTGATGTGTAAGAAGATGTTTGCTGACCACCTTGACTGCGTGGAACCGTTGCCTTGAATAAATGATTATATGTTTAGCTGATTTTACGACCAGAGTTCAAATATTTCTCTTTTAACTAATGTCAGTCTTTCATAATATTTGTGTTCGAAGGGTTAAATGACAACATTGCAAATTCCAAACACTTAACATAATGAGCTATTTGTCTTCCAAGATTTCGAGAGAGAATGGCTTCCCGCACGTAATGTTACAGTTTGTTCTTGAGATGCCACCTGAACCCTAAACCAGGTATATAACAACGTTCTGTAAAATTACTGGAGTCTGGACAAGACAATCCAATGGCTGACAATATGAACATCACGATACAAGTCCACCGAGTCTGAAAACTTTTTAGTCAACGTGCAAGAAGAGGTTGAACAGGGTCTTCATTCTTACCCCATCGGATCATTTTAACTTTGAATATCCATGGAATGTACTTACCAAGTCAACATCAACATTGTTTCTATAGCAAAGGAGACGACAGGTTGGACATCAGAACATGGATCTGGACGGCATAACCATAGCCTGCTGATATTCCACTGACATCGGCTGTGATCATAAACACAGAACAATGGGTCAATATAGTGCGCTCAATGAGACCAACACATGATTTTTCAAAAGGTACTACAATATGGAAATGGCAATAGCAATGACAATGAACGTGTAATGTCATTGGCAGAATGTCCATAGGTATCAAACCTATCTTATTTCATACGAGCAAGGCAACAAACCTGCAATAGCACAATTCATGTGTGACCACAGGGCCGGTATGAAGTTCAGTCGTCATATTCATCATGCTTCATTGGGTGAGTGAGTAGGTATGGTTTTAGCACGCCTTAGCGCCATTTCCAGCAATATCATGGCGGGGGACTGAAAATGTTCTGTATACTTTGCCACCTGACAGACGGAACGTTTAAATAATAACTAGGCTCTCGACCACATGGTCGGAATAGTGAATTGAAAGGTATCCGTTATTCGCTCCAAGTTTGCTTGCTAGTTCAGATTAAGTGGAACATATCCGCACTTAAGACTTAAGACATGGGTCCGGGCTTTTCTTCCCATCGAGCATTCACGTCGTGATAAATCAGGATAATTTAGTGACGTTTAACCAACGCGTACTATTCGTACACGATATATTGCTACATAATTTTAGAAGTTAGTAATCACTTAACTCACACACATATATGAGGCAGGGCGCACAATCATTTCATGAGTATTCGAACATAACACGATTAATCGAATAAATATAGGCCTTGCGTAAAGATGTGTTTGTGGCTACTGTTTTGCGTATATTGATAAAGAATATTATTCTACTGGTTGTCTCGTACGTCATATTCAGGGCGAAATCAGGCGATGAAATAGTTGAATCCACTGGGATAGGCAATAACGTCTGGCATCTGTTAGCTGAAGGGAAGTATGTGTGATAACATGCATGTACGGAACGTATTTGGACCTTATTTATATCCATTGTCGTGAATATATGGTGATATTTCTCATATGTATGTATGTATATATGTATGTATGTATGTATGTATGTATGTATGTATGTATGTATGTATGTAGCTGTATGTATGCTTATGTATGTATGTATGTATGTATGTATGTATGTATGTATGTATGTATGCATGCTGCCTGTGTGTGTGTGTGTGCGCGTGCGTGCGATGCGTGTCGGAATACTGAGTCTGACCCCAATACACTTTAATATTCCTTAACAGAGACAGAACTGAGTACATATCCGTATGTAAAATAAAGTGCAATAGATACTTTTCACTGGTATAGAAATACGATGAAATTTCTTATTGCGATCTTACATTTTAACGCCATATGATGGCATTCCTCCATTCCTGCAGCTATTATGGCAGTAACAACACTAGCACCATGACCCTCATTACGCCAGGATTTCCGGGCCACAGAGCAGCTTGCCATCTTCCCCACTTGCATGTACTGGTGATGACAAAACCGTAAACACTGATGGTCATTGTTAGCATACACGTACAAGCATTGAAAGCGATAATTATAAACATGTTATGGCACGAACTTCCATGTTTGTTTGTAAATGTTCGACATTATTCTTATTTGAAAAACATCAAAGATACAAATGAGTGCTCCTTGAGAAAATGCGTGCGCGTGCATGTTTCTGGCGATGACATCGCCGCCTTTCAGTAACTGAGGTGCAGTTGCGTAAAATCCGCCCGTGTTTAGCGATTTTCAGCAACAGGGCTATACACCGGCACGTTAAGATTTTGTCTTTTTATACAGTTTACATATTTTATCCATATATTATTAAACTGAATTTAAAGATCTAATCACTGTTAGAGTTATGAATTTATACGAGCCAGGCTTAGATCCGGGTTAAAATTGATTATTCCAACTTAATCCATGCCTGTGTTAAAGACGACTAACGGGATCCGGTGTTTGTTGTTGGTGTGACTCTATCGCGGTTGGCTACACAAGTCACTGAACCCAGGAGTTCAGGGATGGCTATGTGGCCATTAATATAAGTCTGTGTTGAGTTGGTGAGCGGTGCCCAGGATTCATGAACCTTTCAGCAACATAATTCTTGGCTTCAAGCCGGCAGTTTTACGTAATCACGCTGTACACTGCGTCCCTTGGACACGCCAGATATTTAGAGCATGGGTTCAGATCAAGTGTATGTATCCGGTTCTAGGTTTGTCAGCACCATAACCATCTTCGTTGGTTCCGCAATGTCATGAAAAGTCTGAAGATGCATCACTTAGGGCTTCCCTCCACATTATTTTGACGTGATAACTGGAATACTCAGTCTTAAAAGCGGTGTTAAACGCAGCTCACTCAAATATGATGTTTCAATGTTAGGAAAATTGAGATGTTACCTACGCTTCCTTGAAAGTAATTCCTGCCGTATTTCTAGAGCAGTTGTCTCTTTGTCCAGAAAATCGCCTGTGATATAAAAAGACCATATGGCTGTTATCGTCATGGCGGTAAAGGTCAGCACCTTCCGCTCTGATCACAAACATTAAACATACATCGTTAATGAAATGCAGGCGTTAGTCTGGAAAGGTGTATGCATTTATATGGATGTAAGTGATTGGGTTTTGAACTCAAAGGGAAGTGTCCCTTCTCGCGCGGACGTTTGCAGCAGACAGAAACGGAGCACGAATCGAAGTGGTATATTATTTGGAAGCCGATCTTTTCAGTTGTCGGACGTTTGGAACGAAACACAACAACATGTTCGGTGTCAACTAGAAGTTCCAATAGCTGTTGGATCCGGAACGCAAGGAATTGACACAACTCTTCATAGCACACTGCGCATTTATTTGAAATTACGATAAATGCTGCTTTATACCGTAGACAACGCATTAAAAATGTACTTTGAAAAAGCAAGCATCTGACCATCAGAAGAGCATATGTACCTCCAAGGTGAATGAGGATACCCGAGGGACTCTATGCGCTGCACATCCCGGATTACTGTAAAGTTCCGTGAGTCAAGGAAGCACCAGCCTGAATCATAGGACGAGATTAACAAGATGGAATTAAGAAGGAACTATGCTTTGGTAAATTGGCAGTCCAACAGCTTTGATTTAACTCTTGTTTTAATTGTCAAGGTAACACATCATTAGGTGAATGAGCTGATGTTATCACTATCAGGTATATCAAGCGGCCTGTAAATAATCGATTGTTAGCCAGCGGTTGATGAAGTGTAATGAAGCATCCAGTTTCAGTCTCGATGGTCCAGCTCATGTTTAGTGTTGACTTCGTTTCTAAATTAGCCCGATGTTCTATATGTCTTGCCCGTATGAACTCATTGGACAGTTTAATCTGGATAACGGACTCCCTGACAATGTTAAAATTATTTGTTTTGGAAAGGCATTTAGAAGTTGGATGAATACGAATACACTTGGCTTACGTTTTATGGATAACAACTTATTTTATTCTTTGCACGACGTTGCAGGCTAATTCTTGCTCCTTCATCCAGGTGAATGAAGGAGCAATTCGCATCGATGAAGGAGCAAGAATTAGCTTTGCAACGTCATGTAAAAGAATATATAAGAAGTTATTATCCATAAAACGTATCATCAATCATGATAAAATATTCCCCTTTATGCCCAACCTTCAACTTCACCATATATGTATGAGCAAGAATGAAATTGAAAAGAACATAAGTTACAAATTTCGACTTTTCTTTTTGATGGAGTATTAATGTGCATAGTTTAAAAGATACATAAAACCGGTAAAGTGCTCTTTTACGCAGAATCCATCAAATATACAGCGTCATTTATGTCAAATTCCAGTATTATTACAGAAGAACATTTTTTATGCGGGTAAGAGAGAAAATCTTTGATATTATTAAAATACGTCCTTAACAGAGAGCATTGGCAAAAGTAGAATTGCTGTGAACTGCATATCAAGTTCCTATTATCTTGACCGCCAGAGCTGGTTAGCACCAGAAGACCTCGTGAACTCTGCTTCTGAATGGCTCCCCTGAGAATATGCCGTCATTGTCTCACCCTGCACCGTTCTGATATTGTCACCACAATAAGGGCGGTTGTTTCATCATATAGTCACCGCCGCATCGTTGACTATTCTCTTTATCTGAACATGAATTAAAATAAATCAAGAACGGGTTGGCGGGTAACACACGTATTGAACTATGTCCAGGTCAGGGTTGTTGGTTTTGTTTTATAATGAAAATCACTGATTTACATGCAAGAGAGCTAGGTAGTGTAGGTGGGACTCCAAAACCTTCCTCTTTTAAAAGAATTATAATCTGTAACTGCCAAGATATTCTGATGGTCATTTGTGACGAATTGTCGTATTTTCCTCAAGAGCTCTAATTGAGTCTTTTATATGTAGCGTTTTTGAGCATGCTCTGGGTGGAATATGGCACAACAAAATGGCCATTTATCATTACTATTATTTTGTCTAAAGATGCATCTTTTAGTAGGAATATATTCACGGGGAAAACTGAATGCGGTTGAGACAAATGCTATGCTGTATTTGAATTACGAACTTACACCGGATCTCAATTGTCACGGTTGGTCTATTATCACCTTCGTGACTATTCTAATCC